AAATTATTCTTTTGTCTAAGTAATGATTTTTTAAAAACACACAGCAAAAAGAATGTTTGATTTACTATGGCAGCTGAATATCTAAGAATCTAATGTTGACTTCACATCCTTACCATCTGTATTAATCTGAAATGTTCACAAATATATGAGACTAAATTGATTATGATGTAGTATTAATGACTACCTCTGGAAACATGTAATTAGTTCCCAAGCCTGACAGCCATCAGAGAACTTCAGTAGGGATACCTACTATAGTATTTACATATGAAATGAGGTAATGTTTCTCACAAACAAAGACACACAAACTAAAACTAAAAGGTTGGAAAAAGATTTACTAGGCATGCAGAAACAGATTTAAAAAAAGAAAGAAAAACAGGAGTAGCTGTTCTCTTATCACACAAAACACATTTTATGTGAAAATCAGTCAGAAGAGGTAAGAAGTCGACTGCATATTAATAACGAGAACAACTCAGCAAGATGATACAACAGTTCTAAATATAAGTACTCCAAATACCAGAGCCCCCACATTCGTAATATAAACACTTCTGAGCTACGAACAGAGAGGACTAGATACAATAATTGTGGGAGATACCAACACACCACTCTTTTTTTCACCACTCTCTTCAATAGAACTTCTGGGCAGAAAAGCAACAAAAATAACTTAGAGCTAAACAATATCTTCAACAAATGGACTTAGCAGACGTTCATAGAGTACTTCATGCTATGACAGCAGATTACACATTCTTCTCAGCAGCCCATGAAGCTTTTTCCAAAATAGACCACATCCTAGGTTATAAACCAAAACACAACAAATATAAAAAATATTCAAATAATCCACTATATCCTAACAGATATTCATGGAATAAAATTAGAAATCAATAGCAAGGGTAACCATAAAACCCATTCAAACTCATGGAGATTGAACAACACACTTTTGAACAAACAATGAGTCACTGAAGATATTAGGAAAGAAAATTAAGAAATTCCTAGAATCAAATGAAAATGAGGACATAAATTACCAGAACCCATGGGATGCAGCAAAAGCAGTCGTAAGAGAAAAGTGTATATCCATGAGCACCCACATCAGAAAAGTAGAGATATCTCAGAAAAATAATCTGATGATTCCTCTTAAACTTGTAGAAAAACAAGAGCAAGCCAACTCAAAAAGTAAAGATAGGAAAGAGATTATAAAAATCAGGATAGAAATCAATAAATTGGAGATAAAAAAATACAACGAATCAACAAAACAAAAAGGTGATTCTGTGAAAAAATAAACAAGATGGAAAAACCTCCAGTCAAGTAAACTAAAAGAAGAAAGGAGACAACCTGAATTAATAAAGTCAGAGGTGAAAAAAGGAACGTTGCAACAGACACCAATGAAATTCAGATGATCATATGGGAATACTTTAAAAATCTATACATCTGCAAACTGGAAAATGAAGAAGTAAATTTCTTGACATACTTGTGATTCATCAAAATTGAATCAAGAGATTATTAAAAACTTAAACAGATCTACAATAAGTAATGAGATTGAGACAGTTTATAAAGAAACTCCCAACAAAGAAATGCCCAGGCCCTGATGAATTCACTGCTGAATTCTACAAGATGTTTTTTTTTTTTTCCTCCAGCATAGGGGTTTGAACTCAGGGCCTACACTTTGAGCCCTACCACCAGCCCTTTTTTGTGATGAGTCTCACAAATCATTTGCCCAGGCTAGCTTTGATCCATGATCCTCTTGATCTGTGCCTCCTGAGTAGCTACAGACTTTTAAAGAAGAACTAACACCAGTGCTCCTCAAATTATTCCATAAAGTACAAAAGGAAAAAAACTACCAAACACAATCGATGAAAACAGTATTACTCTAATACCAGGTAAAGACGTATCAAAAAAGAAAGTTATATGCCAATATCATGGATGAACAAAGATTCAAAAATCCTCAATAAAATATTTGCTAATAGAATCCAATGACACATTAAAAAGATCATACACCACGAGCAAGTAGATTTCATTCTGGGATAAAAGGATGGTACAACATCTATAAATCAATAAACATAATACAACACACAAACGGAATCAAGGACAAAAGCCACATCAACATATCAACAGATGCAGAAAAGGCCTTTGACAAAATTCCAAATCTATTCACAGTCAAAGCTTTGAAGAAATTAGGAACAGAAAACGAAATGTCTCAATGTTATAAAGGATATATGACAAACCTATAGCCAACATAATACTTAATGGGGAAAAACTGAAAACATTTACTCTAAAATAGGGATGAGGAAAGGGTGTCCACTCTCCCCACTCTTATTCAACACAGTGCTGGAATTCTTTGCCAGAGCAGTAAGACAGGAGAAAGAAGTACAAGGGATTCAAATAAAGAAGAAGTCAAACTGTCCCTATTTGCAGATTATATGATACTATACCTGAAAGACCCTAAAGACGCAACCAAAAAACAACCAGATTTCATTAACACTTAGCAAAGTAGCAGGATACAAAATCAATACACAAAAATCAGCAGCATTTCTATATACAAACAATGAACAGTCTGAGAAAGAAATTAGGAAAACAGTATCATTCATAATAGCTTCAAATAAATTAAATTACCTAGGAATAAACTTAACAAAGGAAATGACTGACATATACAATGAAAACTACAAGTAACTAAAGAAAGACATCAAAAGATGGAAGGACATTCCATGCTCATGGATCTACAGAATCAGTATTGTGAAAATATCTGTATTACCAAAAGCAATCTATATGTTCAATGCAATCCCGATCAAAATTCCATTGACATTCTTCACTGAGATAGAAAAGCCAACCTTAAAGTTCATATGGAAGCACAAAAGTCTTCGAATAACCAAAGCAATCCTGAGGGAAAGAGCAACGCTGGGGGTATCACAATACCTGACTTCAAGCTATACTATAGAGCCGCAGTAATAAAAATGGCATGGCACTGGCACAAAAACTGACATGAAGACCATGGAATAGAAATAAGACCCTGACAAAAACCCAAACTACTATAGTCATTTGAGTTTCAACAAAGGTAACTAAAATATGGGCTGGAAAAAAGACAGCCTCTTCAACAAATGTTGCTGGGAAAACAGGATTCCCACTTGCAGATGACTGAAACTAGATCCCTGTCTCTCACTTGTACAAGCATCAACTCAAAATGGATTAAAGATCTTACTGTAAGACCTGAAAAAGTGAAACTAATCCAGGGAAAAATAGGGAACACAATGGACCACACAGGCATAGGCAATTACTTTATGAATAAAACTCCAATAGCTCAGCAATTAAGATAATGTATTAACAAATGGGACTTCATGAAACTAGAAAGTTTCTGCACAGTAAAGGAAACAGTCACCATAATAAAGAGACAGCCTACAGAATGGGAGAAAATCTTTGCCAGCTATACATCTGACAAGGGATTCATAACCAGAATATACAGGGAGCTTAAAAAACTAACCTCTCCAAGAATCAACACACTGAATATGGGCTAATGAACTTAGCAATTTCTTGACATACAAATGGCCAATAAATATGAAGAAACAATCAACATCCTTGGCCATCAAGGCAATGCAAATGAAAACTACACTGAGATTCCACCTCACTGCAGCCAGAATGACTATCATCAATAAAATAAACAACGTTAACGAGGATGTGGGGAAAAGGAACACTTCTAAACTGCTGGTGGGAATGTAAATTAGTGCAACCGCTATGGAAAGCAATATGGAGGTCCCTTAAAAAACTAAAAAGAACTACAATAGGATCCAGCAATACCACTCTTGAGGAGCATAAAACCAAAAGAATGTACTCTAGGATATGACAGAGCCACTTGAACACCCATGTTTATTGCAGCACTCTTTATAATAGCCAAGCTTTAGATGCAGCCCAGATACCCCACAAATGATGAAAGGATTAAGAAAATGCAGTATATACACACAATGAAGTTTTATTCAGCCATAAAGAAGATTGAAATTATGTTGTTTGCAGGTAAATGGATGGAACTAGAGACCTTCATGTTATGTACAATATGCCAAGCTCAAAATAAATCAAAGGTCACATGTTTTCTCGCATATATGGAAGCTAGACCTGTAAGTTAAATGTATATATAGAAACATACATGAGCATATATATAAGTATATACGTACACAATGTGTATTACATATATATATACACATACACATAGTGACAGAGAGAATGAAACTGTATTATTGAGTCTGTCTGAGGGGGCTACAGGAGGTGGGAGAGAAAAACAAAATGATACAGAATATTAGGGGAACATGGTGATAGAGAATGAGTAAGTAAGGGGGAGGTAATTTGATAAAGGCACAATATATACACAATATCTGAAGTACCAAGGCGAAACCCCCTTGGCCTATCACTATACACTTAATTTTTAAAAAATGAAGGGCAGGATGGAAAAATAAATCTTTTCCCAGGGTGGTATCAGTGGAAGAGAGGTGGGCACAAGGAAAGGAGGAATAAGGGTAAATATGGTGGATGTGTTCTGCATCCATGTATGAAAATAGAAGAATGAAACCTGTTGAAATTGTTCTACAAAGGGGGGAAGAAGGGGAAGAGGAGAAGGGGGGAAAAAGAAGGGAGAAAGAGGAGAAACAGAAAAGGATGGGAGGAGGAAAGAGGAAGAATGATGGAGGGGGTAAACCTAACATACACTGTGAACACATACATAAATATCACAATATCCCCCTGTACAACTATTACATGCTAATAAAATCATAAAAAAGAAATGAGATGATGTTGAGCATTTCTTTCAAATGAACCCCACAGCAGGTAAGATGAATAGGAAAGGAGTACATATGAAACAGAATTGGTTATGAATTGATCACTGAAAACAATCTGGTGGTATTTAGATAAGAGTATGTCTGTAAAACTAAAGGAGAAAAAAAGCACATTTTCAAAATCATTTTAATCTTCAAAAACCTAATACTAAACCTCAAATACAGTACTTAGCTATGATAATCTATTTCATTATTTCATACCTATCAAAAGGAATGAGAATACAAGATAAATTCAGGAGCAGTTACTAACATGAACATTGCTACTAATTTACTAACACATCAATCTGACTTCTAGTTTTCTGGCAAAGGATTCCTAACGTTCCAATACTAGATTGCTAGGGTCCTTAATGATGTTTTAATTACCCTCTTTTGAAATAAGTTAAATTTGTCACTAGCTACAAACTGTTTCTATTTTCTCTGTGACATTAAATTTATTGCCATGGCAATTTATAAGGTAGAAAAAACAGTTTATGCATGCATACTTTTTATGGTAGGTACACAGATTTTTAAAAGATCAACACCAAAGTAGTTCTTACCCTAAAAAGGAAAAAAATATATATATATGTACGCATATATAGCATGTGTGTGTGGCAGCATGTGTGTATATACATATATACACACATACATATTGGATACAGGTAGTAAACCAGACAGTACATTTTAATTTCTGAATAGAATCCTTTCTTATTAAATGCTAAATATAATTTCATTAGGGAGGGTTAAAGTTTACTTACCACTTGTCCATTGTGTGGATTCTTATGAGCATATGGAGGTCCACGGATATGATTCCACATCTGGCCAGACGTCATAGCAAAGACTATACACTGAAAACCAGGGCACAATGTTTCAATATGTAAGCCAGAGAATACTGGAATAACAAGTTTTAAAATGATGGTCATCAGAAAACTACTTTTTAAAGATCATATATCAGTTCCCTCATAAGAAAGGACCTTGGGTATATTACTTATTTTCCCTACATCTCAAATTCTATATCTATAAAACTGGAATATCAACTCTGCAGAAGAAATATGCTAATGTTAAATTAGGTAACATATGTAAAATATTTGGCATTGTGACAGACAATCTGATACCACGTGCCACTTTGAACCAGTCAAAGGCACAGATGGGACCCATGATGTACAGGACATGATAATCATTTAGACCTTCTAAACTTCATTACTGTATTTGCTTGGATCACCAGAAGCCTACATTCTTGGGTTAAAGTACTTACATAGCTGTAGGTAGTTAAATGCTCTCAGCAAAGTGTTTAACAGTAAATTCAGATGTTTAGAGATGGAAGAAACTACAAAAACAGATAACCAGTAATAACTCACAGCAGTAATAACTCACAGATTTTTATGCCTGCTGGATTTGTCAGAAAGAAGTGTATTTGGAAAATTCATCTTGATGAGTCAAGGCATTAATAGGGAGTGTGAGAGAGTATGAACCAAACCAGAAGTATGAACTCAATTCAATCACTATCATATTTATCAGTATGTATTATTTAAGCTATGAGACATTTTAAAATTTATATGTTCTTCAGGTTTGAAACAACACTCAGTACTTTCTATGGTTCTGTAACTTGCCCAGTCTTTGTGTCAGCTGCCTGGCCCTGAAATTTTTCTGCCTCAACAAATACTAAACATAAGCATGAGCAACAATTTAAGTTTGCTCAATTTTTAAAGGAGCATAGAGGCCATAAAGAGGGAAAAAACAGTATGGGGCAAATTTATGGACAATATGTAAACCTAAAGGATAATTATTACAGGCTTGGGATTCAACTTTTTTAACAAAAAACGATAATGATGTTAACAGTTTTACAGAGGAAAATCTGAATCCTCTTGATACTTTGAGTATAACTCTGAAATTAAACTTCTTAGAAGCCAGATTTGACCTATCTAGCCTTAGCCAGGTTGAGATATATACAATTTGCACTTAAAATTAGAAGATATATTAGCATATCAAGCCCAGGATGAACACAGAGAATGATTTCCCAACTAAAATATCATTTTAAAATTTACTTTTGTGAGATAATTCTATATTTAATTTTTGCAATAATATCAGTGAATGTGGAGAAAGCTTAGTATACTGGTTATTTTAGCTACAGATATAACATTCTTTCAGGAAAAGTATATTTGAAATTCTAGAAGATTGACAGTCAAAAATGAAACAAGACACCTTTGGGGTGTTAATAGATACCCAATAATACTAGAGTTTTATGTGTCTGGGGTATAACCTTCATAATCATTAAACCAACAACTGAAACTACTGTAACGTATTACTGAATGCTTACTTTTTATCGTCTGCCTTCTTTTACTAATTATACCGATAATCCTACTTTCAAGTGTGGTTGATAAAGACACAAAATGAAGTTGTACTTTACTTTAGAAAGATGATACTTACCCACAGTGTGAAGAAAAGTTTGAAGAAACCAGTTGAAGGTGATAAATACAGATGACATGACAGACTACAATAGCAGTCAGTGATAAGAATGGAGAGAAGCAGACATATAGGACAAATATTTAAGAGTGGAATCAATAGGCATTGGTGATTGATGGGTGTGACAGTGGTAAGAAAAATGCCAAAACTAACCCCATGTTTTTTTTTTTTCCCTCTTCCCTCTACTCCTCCTTTTTTCTTTCTTGTTTCCTTACAACAGGGTTTTGCTATATCTGTAACGTTGGCTGGCCTCACTCTCCTGATCCTCCTGTCTTAGTCCCCTGATGTTGGGATTACAGGTGTATACTACCATGCCTAGCTGAGTTTCTGCTTTCTTGCTCGAGCAACAGGGTAGTTTGTGGGCTACTCAATGATATGCAAAATAAGGCACAGCATACAAGGGCAAAAAGGAAGCAGGTAACAAAGACTTGGAGTTCAATTTTAAATTTGTTGACTCTAATGTGCTTCCAAAATACTCATTTCAAAAAGTTGTTTATTGTTGTGACTTTTGAGAGATACCTGCATGTATTATTTAATGCAACAAAAATCTGAGAATTCTTAATACATTGTTGGTTACTACAGTCATTCCAATGAATGAAATTGTTCAAGAATACTAGGTAAGGTGAGAAGAAAAGAAGGCCTAAGAAAGAACCCCATAAGCTAATTCAGAAATAGTAGTCTGCACAGGAAACAGGACCCAGAAGTTATAAAGCAGTTATAAAAGAAGATAAGCATAGAAGGCCATGCTGATCAACAACTGCCATAGTAGGGCAAAGATCTAATACAAACAATTTGAAAGTCCCAGCTGGTGGTGGTGTGGGGGAGTATTCACTTGCATAGTAAAATACTTAGTAAAACTAAAATATTTCCAAAACAGTAGTACATACACAAGAACCTTCAACAATATTAAGACCTATAACTGCCATGTCAACTTTCCAAGCAGCTTATCATAGCAGTTGAGAATAGAGGCTCTTAAAGTAAAATACTTCAGTTTCAGGCCTATTTTCAATAGCTGTGAGACTCTGAGAAAGTTCATTACTCTGGACCCAGTTTCATATCAATAACATTAGGATAATATTGGAATCAATCCTTCTAAGTAATAGGAGTTTAAAGTAATTTAGTCCACTTAGTCAGTTCAAAATTGTGAATGATATACAATGTACACTCAATAAATAGTTATTCCAAAACATGGTTGGATAAAACACTTCTAAATAACACTAGAGCATATGAGAGAAAATAGTGTCAAAGAAAGTCTCTCAAGTTTTGGACCTGTACAACGAAAAAACCAAACCAAAACAAAAGCCATACAAACAAACAAACAAAATAAACCTTACCAAAACCAACAATAACAACAAAAAGTATCATTAAATGACAAACCTAATAGAATAAAGCATAAGTGCTTAGTTTATCAGTCTGAAGTTTATGGAGAAGATCTGGCATCAATATAATATTTCAGAGTAAATCATGGCTACAAAGTATATTAAGTCTTAAAAGTGGATGAGATTTCCAAGGAATAAATTAAAGAACTGAACTACTCTGAGATAAAAGGTATAGTATATAAAAATGGACAAGCAAGAGAGATGATGAAGGAGCCAGAGAAAAGAAATACAACAAATTGGAAAGAAATGAAGAAAGTGATTCAGAATGAAGAGATCTATTGTGTAAATATTCATAAGCAATTAACAGATTCAGAACCCTGGAGCAGATCATTTTCAATGGAACAGCAAAGCTTTCGGAGAGAAGCATGAAACAATATAGATAGCTATTTCAAGGAGCTTTGTTATAAAGGAGATCAGGTAAATAAGGAAAATAATGTTACATTCCTTTAGACTGATTCAATTAATTACTACAATAAGAGAAAAATTTATAATAATGAATGAGGGGAGAATTATTGCAGCACTGTTATTAAGTGAGGAGGAATAAAATCTAGTACACAAGTGTGAGGTATAAGTCTTAGATATGGGTGGAAACCATTCAAATAATATAGCAGTCCACAGACCCCAAGAGATTCTTGTACCAAATTCAGTTGTCAAAGGTAACCTGTGAATCTATGGGATAGAAACAAATCTTCATTTTCTGTATCTTTTGATGAAAATAAAGAATTTTTTCAAATAGGCATGTAGGTAATAGATCACAATAGTTTTCACAATAACTATAATTTTGTTAATGAGACAAATACAGGTATTTTCATAACAGAAGATTTCCACAATGTAAGATATAGTCAATGTATTAAAACATTTATATTAATTAATTGCTTTGAAATCATGGCAGTTATTAGACACATAAGTGGTCTTGTGATTTAATGCATTAATAAAGAAATAAATATATCACAAGCTTAATTATTACTTAAGCGAAAATAAAATTCTCATAAAAATGACAAAATTTTTAAATCTCTAGTATATTACTTACATTTAAAAAATTTCATTACAGTATAGATTTGAGACTCCAAGAATTGCTTTGATAAAATAAAAGCAGCTTAAAGGGTAGAATACTCCACTGAGTCATTCAAAGTAGTAACAGATGTATTTACAGTAATTATAATTACTTAGAAAGCGGTGGCACATTTTACAAAAGTGACAAAATGCTAAACAAACACAAACTTCTAAAATATGCAAGATAGCCCAGGTTTATAAACAGCTTTTCTTTAAATAAGTGTGAACAGGTATTAATTTTTTAAATTTATTTTTCATTTTAACTGAAGTATCCCCATTTCATTACTCTGATATATATGAAAATTATAATTTTTTTCAATTTAAACACAGTTTACTTTTCATTTAAATAGAATATCCAACCAAAATAGGACATGATTCACAGAGGTATAGTTCCATGAATTTTCACAGAGAGAATACCCCTTGAAACTGTCACTGAAATCAAGAAATGGAAGACAGAAGCCCTCTTTTGTCTTGTCCTAATCATTACCAACATAGCTCCCCAAAGGTGAAGGCATTTTCTAAAGCTATACTATAAATTATGTTTAGAAAAACTATTACAAGATGCAGTGAAACATTACTCAACACATAGGATTACATTTAGATCTGGCTGATAAAACTTCAACAACTGGGATTGGGTGCTTAAGTGTATTCATTTTAGTTGTAAGGGTAGAAGTGTGGTAGTGTCATGCTACACTTCTCTGGTGATTAATGAAGTGTAGTTAACTTCATTAATGAACCTTTTCTGTTTATTGATGTTTGGTATTTGTGTAAAGTGCCAACAAGTCTTTTATCTCCTTTTAATATTTGGTTATCTGCCCCTTTGTTATTGTTTTGTCAAAGTTCTTTATATTTCTAGATGCATGTACTTTGTTAAATATACATATAACAGTTATCCATAGCAAATCTGTACCTTTCCTTTCATTCTCTTAATGGCTTCTTTTAGCAAACCAAAG